CGGTAAAATAGCCTTCCAAAATGGACTAAGTCACAATCCCCAACAGTGTACGACTCCACTCTTGTCATCAAGCATGTGCCTCACCTCAATATAGCGCAGCAATGTGCAAGTCTGGAGTTTCATACCCTCAGAACATCATTTACAATCATTACTCACCTCGAACCGATCAAATCTCTAGCTCGCGACGCCTTTTCCCCTCGAATCAGCCTCCACTCGCGTCGAATCTATCCAAAATCAGAACCACGGTGACAAAATATGCTAAGGGAACGAAGCCCAAGCGAAAATAATCAAAATATGACATAAATCCCGATATTACCAAAACCTGACTCCCGGGCCCACATTTCGGAATTCAATAATTTTTACATCAATAGATTCCTTATCTCCTTACGAGTTCATACATATCAAAAGTTCAGAAATCCGATCTCAAATGGTCCTTCAAATCCTCAATTAAAGGCCTAAGTTCCCAAGCCCTAGTTTCTCCAATTTTCACCCTTAATTTCCATAATTTCTAGCTCTAATCCGTGAAATAATAGCATAGGACCGAGTTTTAGGTCCAAATTCCTTACCTCAATGAAGTTCCCTTGAAATCCCTCTTTCAAATCGTCCAAAAAGCTCCAAAGCCGAGATAAAATGGTGAAATAGCTCAAAATTCGCGAAGGCCACAATTTATACTTTCTACCCAGTCATTTTCGCATCTGCGGTACCGCATATGCGGTTCTTCTTCCTCGTCTGCGGTACCGCATATGCGGTTCTTCTTCCGCTTCTGCGGAAATCACTTAATGGACCAAACCCGCTTCTGCGATCATTCTTCCGCACCTGTGCCTCCGCTGGTGCGGTCCATCAACTGCATCTGCGGTTATTGCCTTTCCAAGCATTTCCACTTTTGCGATCCATTATCCACATCTGCGACTTCGCAAATGCGGTCCACCTTAGTCGCTTCTGCGGTTCCTGACGACTTCTCCAGGTTCCGCTTCTGTGACCACTCTTCCGCTTATGCGGCGCTGCACCTGCGGTCCCCAATCCGCAGGTGCGAAAATACCAGAAGCAGCAAATCAGCAGTTGCAACAAAGTTCAAACTTCTCCGTCAACCATCTGAAATCACCCCGAGGCCCCGGGGACCTCAACCAAAAGTATAAACATATCCTAATACCTTATTCAAATTTGTACCAATCTTCAAAACACCTCAAACAACAACAAATCAACCAAAACACGTCGGATTCAAGCCAGATTTTTTAAAATCTCTCAAATTCCGCTTTTGATCTAAAGCTCAACCAAACCACGTCTGAATGACCTAAAATTTTGCACACACATCCCAAATGACACAACGGAACTGCTACAACTCTTGGAATTTCATTCCGACCTCTATATAAAAATCTCGCCTACCAACCGGAAATCGTCAAAATATCAACTTCGCCAATTCAAGCCTAAATCTACTATGAACCCCCAAAATTCATTCCGATCACGCTCCTAAGTCACAAATCACCTTCCGATTCTAACCGAACGATCGGAACTCACATCCGAGCCCTCTATCACACAAGTCAACATCCAGTTGACTTTTCCAACTTAAGCTTCCTTAAAAGAGACGAAGTGTCTCAAACCTTACCAAAATCATTCCGGATTCGATCCGACCAACCCAATACCACAAAACACGGATAACAAAGCATAAAGAAGCAGAAATGAGGAAAAATGAAGTGGTAACTCATGAGACGACTGGCCGGGTCGTCACAATAACGTCTTCAAGAATTCGGGCAACAGGCTCCGAGTTGCCTAAAAGTTTGTGGGCCAGTCAAAACGGGTTAATGAACAATAGTCATTCAAGACTATGTATTAGCGGCTTTTGTTATATCCAACTTTATCATAATATATTGGAAAAAGACCGCTAACACCTCTATATTAAAGAAGCCTTTTCATCTCGAGATATGAACAATGAGAAACAACACAAAGACAAAAATCAAAAAAATTAACGCTAAAAGAACATAGTCCGTACATCTTTAGTTTGCTAATGCTAATCAGTTTCATTCCTTTGTTATTAACGATCAATGTTGTGAAAATATTTAGTGTTAAGCAGGGGCGGCTCAATATTTAGTGTTAAGGCCCCAAAATTAATTATATATATAATATAAATAATTACTCCATATATTTATTTTTAGTAAAAAAATAATTTTTTTGCAGTCACATGTCGTCAATTTTTATCCTCTACTGCGTCCATATTTTTAAACTTTATACTATATACTATTTTAAAATATGTAATGTAATTATGGTTGAAAATAGTAGGTAATTAAATTTGTAGCTACTTCCTATCTTAATTTTTTTCTAATGCATTTGAACTTGAATCATTCTTGTTTATAACTTCGGTATTGTAAGATTTTTTTTAAAATTCTTTGAATATCTTTTTAAATATTTTCAAGTTCAAACTAACTAGAGCATTAAATGATTAGATTGAAAAATATGTTGTGTAGCCTGATTCCTCCTAAAAGCTTGAGCAAACAACTCAACTTCTTAAAAAATGTACTTTGGGGGGAGACATTTTTGCCCTTGAAAAAGCTTGGTCGAACAAGTTATTAACCTTAAATATCTTTTAAAGCATATCTATGAAGTTAATGGTTTTACCAATTTTCGGAATTAAAAGTAATACAAAAAATATACAAGTAAAAGATGATACTCTAATTTGCATTGAAGTCTTAATTATATATTTTTCAATATTTCTATTGCTTATAGAATACTTTTAATATTTTCTCTAACAATTCCTCAAATGAAAAAAGTTTTGTGAAGTAAAATCAATAAAAATTATGTCTCGTGAGAATTACACGTAATAACCATATTATTAATTGTAAACAATTTATTATCAAAATTTATAATTAATTACTTTCTTACATTTTAGGAAGCTATAAGAACAAATATCAAATAAAATATAAAAAAAATTACTAAAACAATTTAGGGCCTCTTTTAAATTTTGGCTTTAGGCCACATATTAGATTGAGTTGTCACTGTGTAAGATAATTTCATATTAGCAGGGGCGGAGGCCCAAGCCGAACTAGGGATCCGGCTGAACCCAGTAACTTTTGTTCAATATATATATATATA